CCTCTCCCTTGTCCAGGTGATAGGTCACCTGGTTGTAAAAGGAAATGAGATTGGTCAAGCAAGACCTACCCGCAACAAACCCGTGCTGGCTATCCCTCAGGATGTTGGCATCGGCCAGTCCATTAAGGATGGCCTCTTTAATAAACTTTTCTAAGATCTTCCCTGGGATAGAGGTCAGACTGATGGGCCTGTAGTTTGCCAGATCCACTTTCCTCCCTTTCTTGAAGATAAACACCACATTGACCTTCTTCCAGTCTTCGGGCACTTCACCAGAGCGCCAGGAGTTCTCAAAGATCCGTGCCAGGGGCTGGGCTATGATGCTTGCCAGCTCCTTGAGTACCCTGGGGTGTAGACTGTCATGGCCGGCTGTCTTGAAGGTATTCAGCCTCTCAAGGTGTTCCTTTACGAGGTCTGCATTGATGGGGCAAGGGATCTCCCTCACCCGGACCTCCCTGTCCCATTGCGGGCATGGGCGTCCCATGGGACTGATAAAAGACCGACGCAAAGTACCCATTTAATAGGTTGGCTTTTTCCTGGGCATCAGTTGTCCCATCTGGTTTTGCAGGGGTACAATGTTGCCCTTAGTTTTCCTCTGGCTCCCCACATATCTGAAAAAGGACTTTTTATTGTCCTTGATACTTGAAGCTAGTTGGAGTTCAGTTGCAGCCTTGGCTTTCCTGGTTTGCTCCCTGCAGTTCCAGACCAGTGCAGAATATTCCTTCTTGGAGGTGAATCCCATGCTCCATCCTTTGTAGGCCTTTCTTTTTAGCCTCAGGAGGTCTGCTAGATCCCTGGAGAGCCAGGGGAGCTGCTGTGCCCTCTTGCTGCCTTTCCTCCAAGATGGAATAGAATTAGCTTGTGCATTGAGGATCACTCCCTTGAGGAGCAACCACTTGTCCTGAACTCCTCTCCCTGTGGGAGTCTATTCTCCTTGATCCTGGGTGCTCCTCATCAATACTAGTGTAAGATTGTGGTACTGTGGCTAGAGAATTATATATGATAAATGCCATCAAAAGTGATGTTTTTTCAAGGATATTTAAATCCTTTTGAACTCTTCTGTTCTTTGCTAAGCACAGAGACCCCTTCCTGTCACTGCTTGACACTGCACCCCTACAGCTCAGTCTGCTGCAATTTCAGTCTGATTACTTCCCTGAAAATTGTAGCTACTCAGTTGTTAGATTTTGAAGGAATTAGCCTCCCATGATACAACGCTGAAAACTATAAACACAAGGCAGCTCTAATTGTCAAGAGTAGGAGCTGTCTGCTGCCATTTATTGGTGATTTGGGGGAGATGGAAGAGCAGACATCATTTGTGTGGGTGTTACCTGCTTGGTCATTTTGGTTAATGCCTATTTTAAGTGTTAATAGTCATTCAAGCTTTAGGTATGGAGTTAATGAAGCACTGTTGCCTTTTAGCTGTGGCAAAAGGGCAACAGAACTGTGCTTAATGTCTCAAGTGAGGAAACACCATCACCTGAACTTGTATGGCATGGCTGAAGCATGTGCTGGACATGTGTGCAAGTGCATGCATGCAAAAGCAAAAATCTGTGCGTGACTGGATCCCCTCCACACAGTAATGGCAGCAATGAGTGAACTCTGGCCTCCACACAGGACCAACAGAGCCACAGTAGCTGTAGCAGTTAGGCAGTCCAGCATGAGACAATGATAAGATGATAACAAAGCATTTGTCCATGGAATCCCAGTAGCACTTTCCCTGCCGGAGCGCACCTCTGGAGCTTCTCTGGCAAAACACCACAAAGGTGCACTGCAGGGAAAAGGTGGGGAAGCATGGTATCAGAGATACTTTTGTCCATTGGAGGCTCACAGGAATAGGTGGACAACCAAGGCAAAGGACTATCATCCACGTCCCCACTGGGGCGAACATTTTAATTACTATTCATATAAACACGTGCTTGGCTGAGGTATTTTCTCTCTTAATGCAGTTTTCTGTGTCCCAACCTCAGTGCTTGTAAGAGGGGCAGTTTTGTTTGTTAAGGATGCCCAGGTTTCTGTGAGGTCTCAAGCCAGAACTGTTTAGGAATTTTAATTTAAAATATGTAGGTGTTTGAACCCAGCCCTTTTACTACCAACAACTCCTGGCATTAATAGTTATCACTGGGTTTTTTAATCAAGGTGCATTGCTGGCTGTTTGTTCTGGGAGACTCTACCTCTGCCCACTTGAGGTCTGATTCAGTCTTCAGAACATCCCAGAGCAGGCTCTCCTCTTTTTTGCAATGAGCTGATATCATATGGAAAGTATCAGCCCTGGATGTACCTTCAAGAGACAGCCTTTTCTCTGATCTGTAATGTTCTATTCAGTCCAGAAGATGGCATCAAATCCCTTTCCACTGGACTTTCTTAGGGCCATATCTTTCCATCAAAATGAAGAGCAGCTTAATGATCCAGTAAGTCTCCCTCCATTTTTCACAGGCTACATTTAATAGCATCTTTTGTGAGGACTTTGAAAACGAAATTATCTGAAATAATCGGGACAGACTGGGAGGAGCTTGCTCCCTGGCTGCAAATCAAGGCTGAGTAGGCAGTAGCATGGAACAGTCATGTTACCATGTCAGGCACGGTCCTGCCTTAGGGACAGACTGCTCAGGGGAAGGACCCTGCCTCCGGAACGTGTCAGTGTCCCCTGCACACAAAGAACACCACACCCATCTGAGTGGATTTGGCCAGGATCCCAGCTGCTATGGGGCTTGATGACATGTCTCTGCATGCCACGGAGGACAAGGATGCTAAACCCAGCAAGCATGCAAGGGTAGAAGCTGTTTACTTTTCCCACACCCCTCTCTGCAGGCAGGATCTGGCCCAGTGTTTGCAGTTGCTGAATTGAGCCTGCTCCAGAGAATTTCTAACAGTTCTTTTCACTAACCACCACAGCAAACCAGAGCCACAATCAGTACAGAACAAAATTAAGGCTAAATCCAACAGAAGGCTGAATCACCACTGATTTCAAAAGGATGTGAAGGAGCATAGCACCTTACAGAGTCAGGCTTTTCTTTAGTCAGGTAACATTATCTAGCTAACATTCGTATTACCACTCAATTACAAATAAAGTAATATTCCTTATGAAAAATCTGTTTAATATAGCAGCTGTTTCTATTTGTTTTCTATGTTGCTGAAAGATGAGCTCTCTCTTCCTGTGAGTAACATTTCCTCTAATATGGACTCTGACTCAGAGCCCCCTGAAGGTCAGGGGGAAAGCTCCTGTCACCTTTAATATGCTTTGGACCAGGTGTAGAAAACTAAATCTAGGGGCACGTCTATATGAGATTCATTAATCTAAGTTAATGTGCATTATGGGTGCCCATTTACACGTGCATGCCCTTAACGAGCATTAACT